CTACTACTACTACTACTATTCTACTACTACTACTACTACTATTCTACTACTACTACTACTATTCTACTACTACTACTACTACTATTCTACTACTACTACTATTCTACTACTACTACTACTATTCTACTACTACTACTATTATTCTACTACTACTACTACTATTCTACTACTACTGTTCTACTACTGCTCTAAATATTGTTCTCATTAGAATTAAATCTACACGATCATCTAAATCTACCTAAAATCTAAAAATCTCAAAGTTAGAGTGAATGCACTGGTTGCAATTCGTGCGTCGATTCTGACCAACTGTATTTGTATTATTTATATTTTCATATTTGAAGTTGACTGCAGATCCCAGCGATCGACATATAACTTCAGACTAGTATATTATTTATTAATATTTAAACTAGTATAATATCGTTTCTAATAGATACGTACAATTAATGATAAAATCATTTTTTTACACCGAAAAGTATTCTTAGCAAAGAATGGAAAACCTGTGGAATTGTGACTTTTCAATTCGACGGAAAATTGTGAGAAAAATCATGAGGTTTCTATCGCCTTAGATACGCCATTGGAGAATTTTGTCAGATTTTTCGACTGCAAAACCGATTTTTAAAAAATCAAAACCCTATCGAGCGTATCAAGTTCAATTCGACTTGGCACTTTTACTATGCGTGTTCGATCAAATCCGTTGTTCCGAATGCGTGAAGCTATAAAATAAACTGAAAAATAGATAAAACAGGAAAAGAGTTAACAGAGATTGGTAGAAAATGAAAACGCAAAGCTAATAAAATTACGGAAAGAAGTGCGAGAAGAATTCGTCGCAGACTTTCGAAATTAGAGAATTCTTGCGAACTGAAAGTACCTCTGCATTTTCGCCTTGCATTCGAGTAAAAAAAGCACCTAGAAACAAAACCGATGCAAGGATCGAAAAGTAGAGACCTTACTCTTTAAAATTAGCCGAAATTCATGTGTATCGAATTTTTTTTAACTAAGTTACAGCAGTTCAAACTTTGCTCACGAGTGTATACACTTCGTAGAGATCCGAATATATATGTAATTCCACTTACAATTTGTTTTCGATCATTCCAAAATAATTTCATTCATTCGAAGCTTCGTATTTTGGACGATCGAACATGTTAATTCAGACGTTTTAAGTCGATCAGTGCAGGAAAATCCGCTCTTCTAGATGCAGAAAAGATTCGATTCCGCGCGGAGATCCGCGATCTCGTCGCAGGAAAGAAAGTCGCGCCGTTCCGATCGTCTAGAGAAGTTTCTAAAACGAATTCAGCGTACCATATTCTTCATCCTCCATTAAATATCGGCAGAACGAATCTCAATGTTTGCAGAGCATTAAGCTGATACGCGCGGCAACAGAAGCAAACGGCGCGGGGAGAAAGATCGACAAAAAACGAACGGAGCGAGTCTAGGTCGTTAGCAATGCGGTTAACTATGCAAATTCGTTAGAAAAACTGGCTAATAGGCTCTGTTAACGTAGACGGCGTGGTTTGAACAGGTGCGCCGGCGCGTCTGGCCGTGTAGAATGTGTCGAAAGTTCAGGTTATTCGGAGAAAACAAGGGTCTGAACTCACCGGCTCGGCGAGGTAAGACTCCCACAACTCCCTAAGGTCGCTGGTTCCCACGTCGTAGAATTCCATGATCCTAAGCTAGCTGGATCGTTCCTAATGGTTCTGCTGCCAGTCGTTGAATCGTAGTATCTGCCCATGGAGGATAGAGATCATCAGAGGAGCACAGGCACGATCTCTCCTCGGGTATCCATTGTCGATCACGGATACGTTCTGAAAACGGAATCTTTCTCAGGAAAAAGCGGTCTGCAACTTTTACTCCTCGACCGTTTCGCCACCGATCTGTCTTCTCTATTTTCTACTCGGACGTTTACGCTTGTTTTCCACATCATTTTGTCCGCCATCCACGGGATAAATATATAAATTCATTTCGGAGCCTACAGGACACACGGAAACATCTCGTAGGGGAGACGGGGGCGTAAAACGAGTCTTGGAGAGAATTTGGGAGTAATTTAGTTATATGCTATTAATAATACTTTAAATTATAATAATTATTATATTATTATAATATAATATTAATATAATAATAAATAATAATAATATGTAATAAATAATATTAATATATTATTACTATAATTATAATTACATTAATAATTTCAAATTATAATAATACTCTTATTTCATGAATAAATAATGTAATAAAATGTCAACACCTTCGTTCAATAATTGTGTCTAAAAATATTTAAATAGATATATAAAATAGAAATTGGGGAATTTGAATAAATAAATTATTTGCTTGAAATTTGATTAGAAATCTTGATTTGTGCGTTTGATTGCTATGGATATTAATATTTTTATTAATAATAATGTAAAATGAGCCAAAAATGATTAAATTAATTCGATTAATGATGAAGATGTTATTGGGGGCAAACTCAGCTATATTGGAGAACAGATGAAAAATACGTGAACGATATGTGTGCAGTGACTTAACCTAAAACTAACCTAAAATTACTATATTTTATAACCAAGATTTGTCAACCTCAAAAAATGTAATTAAGTATAACTATCTAAGAATGTCCCAAAGTGTTGTTCTTATTTACAAACTGACGAATGTGTTAAATTAGTTCAATAACATTTAATTGATTTGTTTAACTTTTAACTTTATATTTTGTTTTTGTTTCAGGCTCTCACTGCCCCATAGTGAAACCTCTTTTCTTTCCATGTGGGGCAAAGATAACTAATTAGGTACTTCGTTTATTTTCTATGCAGTTTTAAAACTACTTTAATATTATTATATCAAATGTGAGATTTTCGATTTATAACAGATAAGATATACAACTATAGTTTAAATTTTATTTTAGTATTTTGTTTACCAAAGAAAACATTTTATGGCGTTTTCTAAACTTCTCCGAGCTAACTTTGCCCCAGTCTCCCCTACGAACCATACACGTACTGCCATATAGTACACGCCCCATCAAGCATCATTTGCAATTCAACGATCATTTTGCACGTTCGCTTCATCGTGGAAACTTTCTTTCGATACGGACCGAACGAAAACGATTTTAAAAGTAATTGTTTACGATCCGTCCCGCAGATTTCGTCGAAATTTACGCGGGGTGCGTCCCGCGCGCATTCGAACAAGCAAAGTCTTGAGCAAACCGACGCGATAATTAGTCTCGCGGAGATACACACCGTCTCTCTCTCCGGCGCGATGGCTGGGAATGAAAAATTTGCACGCGAAAAATTCCGCTGAAACGAGTCACCTAATGTCGGAAACAATACATTTCCGTCGAACATGCTCGACGGACATGCAATGGACATGCGACGGATATGTGCGACGAATATACGACGAATCAAGTCTGGACATTATCGTAATAAATTATTCGAATAGTAATCGTGAAGAAAAATTTATTTTGCTCCATGTTATTTGAAATATTTATACGTTGGTTTATTTGAGCTGTCAAATAGTTTTTGAAATGATTTCGTTACTTGGATTTAAAATAAAATAATTCTTTAATATATTTGTTGTTTGGATATAAAAATAATTCTTTACTTCATTTGTTGTTTGGATCTAAAATAAAATAATTCTATACCTTATTTA